CAGTTAGCAGTCTTTGTATCTGTATATAAATAAGAAGTACTTTATATTAGGTCTCTCAAATAATATAATTTCATTTACTTTGTAATGGTATTATGGTGAATTCAATATCTTTGGTAATCTTTATGAAGACATCACAATTGTTTACTTCTTTTGTAAGTTATTGTTATCATAACAAATATTGGTGTATGATGATCTACTCTGTCATTAATATTTATCCTTCTTTTCACCCTAAAAAAAGAAGTCATGTACGTATGTTACAAAACATACACTCTTTTAAAAAGTTACTAACTATTTTAATGCATGAAATACAGTTCGCTGGTATAGGGTTCCGTGGACATCGTTTGTGGAGATTCATATTTAAAAAACTTATGAACTGATATGATTTACAGTGATTGTAAATTAAAACGTTGAAGGTGTAATATCACACAGATCTCCATGCAAACAGAGCCGAAGGTATCTGATTACTAATGTCTTCTGTATGCTGCAAATGGTTATCTAAATTGATTTGATTGAAGAGACACACCCCCAATATGACTGTAGAGAAGTTTTTTTTCGCGAATTGACGTAACCGATCTATAAACTCATTGAGTTAATGATCTTGTTTGCTCACACATATCAATTGAAATGCGACCCGTTGATAAGTTGACGTCTTAAATAACGTCATAGACTCTAATGCGCATGTACAGTTTTGTACTAAGTAGTATGGGCGTCGGTTTAGAATCCAACGTCTGCTGTTCCAATGTTCCAATAATACTATGTAGCACAAAACTGTGCAAAATTAGGTGTTCTACATACCTTAACTATTTATATGCATACATACATCACTATAAAGGGACATAAATAATCCGTATTTTGCTAATATCCAAAATGTTATATTTACTATAGAGAATATTTTTTTTATTTTCTTTCATTTGCAAGTCTACCGTGTTTTTATTTATATAAAAAGGCACAGTGTATACATGTTCATCAAATCAGACCCGCATTCAATAGCAGCAGTTCTGTTTGCTTTATATTTTAATTGTAGTTGGTAATTTATGGTAATTAATAAAAAAACTAAATACGGTAGTGAAATAACAATATTTTAAATCTCAAGTGTAAGGTCCGACTATGATAGTCGAATGTTTTCCTTATAATGTTGATGATGTCATTATTTTCGTACTAATTATTACTCTTATTTGCGTAGTCCTATATAAACTAAGTATTTACGAAACAAAAGTAAAATAATCATACACTCGTAACATAATATAGAATTGTTACATAATTATAAAAGCATCAAAAAATAAAAAACAGAATAACAACAACAACAACAATAATTAATAACTTGATGATGCCGATCTTGAAGAGAAGTACTCTTGCTAATTTTTTTAATGCATAATGCTATTGGTGGACTATTGGTGGACTTGGAGAAAAGAAATAAGTGAATAGTCAAGTGAGTATAAAGTCATAGTGAGTGAAAAGAAAGAACAGTCGATAAACAGTAATCTTTGGGGGCCTGAGATTATTTAACCTAAGAGATTTACTAAAGTTGATAGTAATGATGTAGTAAATTCAATCCGATGGAGAATAGACATTCCCAGGTCTCATCCGAGAACCTTTAATACACTTTTAATCTTTTTGGACGACATTAAAAGCTTTGTATGTCGGATTTGATAACCTTTTTGTTGTTCCAAAAAGCTTGTTTTTCTTCGATTTAATTGTTACATAATTTATGCAACTATTACTTTTTTAGAGTCAAATCATAGTCACGCGTGTTCCTCGCTTGTAAACTTATCTTGGATAACCCCACTAACATTTTGTTACAGTCGTTTCTATCTGAGTTTCCTTCTTTGTGTATTAGTTTGCAACTCAGATTAAACTTACTTAATATCATGTTATTGTTTCGTAAAGTTTCGTTGTTGCATACAAGCAGTTAAAGTGTTACAGGAAACATATCTAAAATATATTTAATATTTTTTATAACTTATTTAATTATCTGTTGCATCTCATCTCACAGTACAACAAGTAAAGACTTGAACTAATCAACTGATCATTGGTATATCAGTTCATCCGAATGTTATATGTCTTACAGTATACATGGTAATTTAATGAATACCACATGTGTTAAGTAGGAATTATATTTAAAAAAAATCGACGACTTAGAAGAAATATGTGCTCTGTCCCTGTCTTGCCTGTATTTATTATATACAGGTATTTATAAATAACAGTTTGTGTTTTCTTTAAACCCTATAAACTATGAAATAACAATTAAAACAGCTTGATGAAGATATCTTTTGTCTTGTTTTGTTTTGATAGTGCTGTGGGTTCAAACCCCACATGGGACGACACTTTATGTGATCCACAAATTGTTGTTCTGAGTCTGGGTGTTCTTTGTGTCCGTTTCATGTATGTTTGTATAGTCCCCTGCGACACAGGAATGTATTCCTAATGCGGGAGTTGTCTTTTTAAAAAAAAGAAGAGAAATACAATTAACAGATTACAATATTTTTATAGATTCAACATGTGATTCAAGATTCACGTGAAGTCGCAATAATAATTATTGACAAATGATTGTTTATATGTGCAATATCTGCATTCCTGTTGATATTGTGCAACGAGAATGTAAGACCACAATGATAATGCGATCGGTTGATGAAGTACTAAGGACGAAGGAAGGTGCTATTACTTAATGTTGTACTTTACATGTATTATTTATTTGTTACGTAGATAAACATATGTTGACACACTTAGATGTTAGTATGTTAATTGAGAAAGCAAATGAATAAGAGCACAACCACTGAATACGCTGTGATGGTATCATTAGAAAGGATGCGTCTGCTCAATAACGATTTATAGAAGAAGCTTAATTAAATTTTAAAGTTTAAAAACTTAAATTCGAGATAATACGAGAAACGTTCAAAAATATTGTCTCGACCTGCGTATCCGTATGAAGTTAACAGCTAAACAACGTATACCGAAGAAACTTTAACGAATTAAAGCGATGTGGCATCTTTTCTAAATAGAATTTTGCTTTGTAAATGCGCCGTGGTTCATAGGTAGTGTCATGTCAAGTTGCCGCAATTCTGATTCTGACTTACCCAACTCGTCATACCTTGTTTTGAAGCAACTCGGGGATTTCCTACCAGTAAAATACTGTGGCTATATAAATATCGTGTACTTTATTTCATGTGTAATGGATAATAAAAAAGCTCGCTTTAGTATATAATATAACCAAATTATAATAATCGCCATTTCGACACACGTTAAAAACATTTGTGCATGTTACTGAACTTGACCGCGTCAGTTATATACATTTATGGACTGGTTTACTAATTCTACTACAACACGCATGAATAAATACATTTATTTTATGTAGCAACTTGTTATATCTCAAGAATATTACGAAATTAACAGGCGGTTATTATTTAACTGGGTTCATATCAATCTTTGGGTTAGGTTAAAAGGTTAACAAAATTAACATATAGGTACCCAATGGAAAGAGATTAAGAGAAAATTAACACGGGAACTTTCCTTTATATATTTGTGACTATAATATCAATATAATTGTTTCTCCACGGGACTTAATGGAATCACGTAACAGATATAAAACTACTTAAAAAACATACTTGACCACGGTCAGTGCAACCTGGTCAAAACGTCAGCCAATTTCTAAGGTATATAATACCTGTTACGTGATTGTTTCTGTTATTCCCGTGTAAAGAAATAATTATATATCATGGAAAGCTACAAGTAAATATAATAATGCAAGAAATGCAATAGGTTTTTTTTTCTTATTGAAGACAACTCCCGCTTTAGGAATAAATCCTGTGTCGTGGGGGACTTCACAAACACACATGAAACGTACACAAATTGTCGTCCCACGTGGGAATCAGACCCATAAGACTCAGCGTAGTGCTAAGCGGCGTAGCGACCGCTTAAACCACTACGCCATCCGTGAAGTCAATATTGTGTATTGCACATCATATTTCCATGTTTTCTTTCGTTTGATAGCGAAAATATTAAAATGTGTTGATTCGTGGAATGCTTAGAAGTTATCTTAAAATTATTACATATATAAAATATAAATATTTCCTTATTTTTCAAATAGCTATTGTGTACAATTCCGAAGATTTTCAAAACTAAATCTTCTTTTTAATAAAAAATATTTTTGGTGGAAGCCCATCTTCATCAGCAAACAGTAACTAAGTTCGTGTCATTTAAATAATAAAGATACATATAGTATGTTTAAACTTAGTTTATTCACAGATGTTTCACTCAACCGATTTGTTATAATAAAAACTCAGATACGAACTGAATTTATTTCAAAATAAAGTTTTCACACAACACAAATTACTAGTCGATAAAAAACCTAAATGAATTATTAGCCTTAGAGTTAATTTACTTTTTAATTACAGATTAAATTTAATGGATGGAATCCAAAGATTCATTCCAAAATTAATCTAGCAGGAAAAGTAATTAATATTTTATTTAATAATTAAAGTTAAACAATAGAGCTAATTCTTATTTCTATCTTATAATAATACTTCATATAAATAAACATATAAATCTATATTACAAACAATAAGTGTAAAAAATCTAGTCACCGCTTAGAAATACAAAATTTACAGAATCAATTATTAAAATTATAGTAACGAACAAAAAGGTAACTAGGTCTTTCCTCACTTCTACTTAGAAAAAAATAAATTATATTTTATACCACCAGGATAATTTATTTTACTAAACAACGGCAAAGTTTCACGTTCGGCAGCGATCGGAAGGCAGTATATAGAGTGACGGCGAATGCGCGGGCGCGTATTTGTAGGCTGTGTTGTGCGCGGAACGGTTGAGTGCACCCCACGCGACTCTTGCGCATTTATTAAATCGACTTTGCTTACGATACATTCCTTTATCGCTTTATTTGTGATATATGGTTCCTATGGATATTAAATAAAAAGTGATTATTTTATTTATTTTTTCATTTCCTAAGTGATTTTTCTGTGGTGATATAATTTAAAAACTTTATAATGTTAACGGGGTGGCAGCTGATTTTATCTAAATGTAAGTATTTATGTGATAGAGTTTATTTATTGGGATATTTTATAAACAATTTTATTTTGGATCAAATTTATTATAATACTAATACATTAGGTCTTTAAGTAAGACATTAAAAACGAACGTCCTTTTTTAAAAGACGTAGATGATGAAAAAAAATACATGAAATCAACACAAAACATATCAAATAAGTGTGTTTTCTTAATCAAATCGCAAACAAATATTATTTGGCTTTATTATTTCTTTTTAAGAGGTAATTATAATAATGTAAACCTGCGACTTCATTTGAAAAGCGAATTTGAAAAGCGCTGCCTTAGTGGTGTAGTACGGCACGCGACTGCGGTACATAAGGCCTCGGGATTGATTCCCGGACCGGGCAAAATTTTATAGGGTTTTTCTGAGAGGAAAAATAGCCTAACTTACTCCTTTTATAGACAGCTACCCGGTAGTAAAATATCAAATACGATACAGCTGATTTAAAGATTAACCGGATCAAAGAGACGGACAGACAGACAAAAAATATTTTAGAGATAGGTATTGTGCAAATAACCGTGTGAGCATGAAAAACCTTTTATTTTGACATTATAAAAATACACTTCAATTTTGTTTATTTGTATAGATAACAAACCAAACTGCACAAATCGCTCCCCTATTTTTTTAGGTAATCAACAATTTGCTTTAATTGGTACAAGCGCAAATAGATAGAGAGAATTACTTAAATAGGTCGCAGATACAATTTCCTTCAATTGTGTTACACAATTGTGTTACATATTTTAAAATATTTACTTTCTTTTCTTAAGATGTTTGCTATACAGATTCGCTCCTAGTTGCCATGCCTCTTTATACAGATACCTTAATTTGTTTCGTCACTTTGAAATTTCCTTAAAGTCGTCTTGTTTGATAAAAACTAATCTAAAATAAAAGAATGTGTACACTCATAACTTCAAAATATTCCAAACACCGTTTCTTTAAACGACTAACTAAATTTAATTATTTTTTTATATAAAAACATAACTTTAAATTCTTTGAGTGCATGCAATCCATAATTTCTTTAATGTTTTTTGCAGTTGCAATTGTACCTACACTTACGTCACATCAACAGCCTTTAATAGTCCACTGCTGGACACGGGCTGGTCAGACGGATTAGTATAGGGTTTGCTTCAAGTTTTCCTTCTCTTTGCAGTAGTGTTGTCCTGCGTAGTTGCTCCCTTAGTCGACTCTTACGACACTTACGGGATGAATAGGGGTGGTGACACTCCGTATTCTTAACCCGTCACAACACGGATGACATCCATACATACAATTTATTAAAATTTGTTGTAAGTATTAAAAGTTGTTTTGAACGTATCTATAGAGAGGTTTTCTGAGGAACAACTTTTAAAAATGATGTTAAGATTACAAAAAATCCGTAATAAGAAACTACTGCGTATATTAAACTAATATAATTACTATATATAGTGTTTAAAACCCCCTGCTTATAAGTAACCTACGGCCTTCGATAACGTTCCCTTAATTTCTATGCGCCTTAGGCGTAAAAACGTATCAACCAACTGAATGTTATTTTAATGTTTATAATTTTAGGTAAAGATTAGCACAGTGCTAATTACAAGTATTTTAATCAATCAACATATGATGAAACTTATTAGCATTCCAATAATCAACACTGGTCACTCGCTCAATAATTAAACAAAATTTGCATAAATTTTATACTGTTACTAAAATAAATAGTGAAACTAAGCTTCCTCAAAATAAGACATGTCAAACACATGTTATAAGATGACCCCAAAGTATTAAAAATAAACAGGTTCGAATTCAGATTAACATATATAAATTGTTTATGAATGGTTCGCCATTATAATAGTGGAACAAAACTTGCGTCAAATAAGTTAGTAATATGAAATTTTACTTTTTTCTGCTTCTGTTTTAGGAGTCTTCTGTCTGTTTCTATTCTTAAAAGAAAATATAAATCCTTTTAGGTTCACTAGCAGTCGGTCTCTCTTTCTGTTGATTAACATCCATTTTTTGAAAGGTGGTGAGGGGAGGTGGTGTCAAGTTAAAATTAAAATCAAGTATTTCTTACACCACACACAGAAGTACAAATATTTATATACCTCTTAAACTGTCGAAAACAAAAACCAGTTTAAGGTTGAATCTAATAATAGAAACCAAATTGCACTATATTCGCGTGCTTAAAATCATGATACAGTTTATAGAAAGATAAGTGGCGCAGATCATAAAAGTTAATCTATTTTACGTATGCTATAATAAAAATAATAATGCATAACTTTATTAGATAACTGTCTATGACTGCTGATTCAATTATTACTGTTAAGTCACGATACTTGGGTTCCGTATGATTTAGATAAAAGACTTAGATAACTACATTTTTTTGCTTTAAATGAATCTGCAAAGACATTATAGTATTGATGCTATTAATCGGAAATTCAAACATTTAACATTAAAGTAAAATTAACTGATAAGCTTTGTAGTTCTTATATGGTTGTACGTTTAGAAAATTACTAGTTGAAACACGTTTGCAATAATTAGTTCATAACTTCATAAAGTTTAGTCTTAATATTAAAGTTCAAAAGCATTGATTTTGTAGCTTTTATAGCAAAGCTTTTTTTTCGATTTTATTTTATTTTGAAATCAAATATAGATACTCGTATTTGTGGGTGGTGGAATAATTGAAAAGGAATTGAAGTTAAAGGAGGTCACTTTTTTGTACAGATTATTGTAATAAAACATGTATTTAAAATAGTTGGAAGGCTTAATAACAAACAATCGCATCACATTACGTCCTTGCAGGCCAGTCTTGGTCAACTAGACTTTCGAAAATTTAAAATACCTGCTTAATAAGACGTGATGATCATGCAATACATAATAAAATTAATGGAAATAATAAAGTCACCTGAAAACATAATTAAAATCGTAAATCAATTAATAAGTTTATTTATGATTATCAACTAACACTGATTCGGCAACATATCGGTATGAAAATATGTTTTCCGATATCGAGTCTTAAGAAACTAAAGTCAATGCTGAAACTGAACAGGGATACCCGTTTACATAAGGATGTTTAACACCAGGTGTACTGTTTTAAACAGTATACCTACGAGGTATCTGGTGTTGAATGTTTTCATACTACTACACGAAACTATGAGTGGTTACGGCATTATTCACTTGCTTATATTTTCATAATTTCTTCTAAACAGAAAAGAAATCTTAACAAATATACCCTTTTTTACGTGTTGATAACCTCTCGGGCCGTCACCCCACTGGGGTTTGTAGCGGGGTGGTGTCTCGGAATCGGACCGACCAAAACCAGACGGTATGCCACTCTGCGCCCGAAATAGGCGGAATCCAGGAACTGCTGTTATTGAGACATCCAGAGCCTTAAAAATACATCCTGTGCCAACCCGTCTGGCCAACGTGGTATAGTAGGCCAAAACCTCCTTTCTAAGGAGAGGCCTATGTCCAGCAGTGGCCTCACGATGATGATGATGTGAAGAAAAAAGATATCTTCTCTTTACAATAGAAGGACAAGAGCCGCTTCTGTTTTATTTTCGACTTTTTGTTTTATGGTTTCATAATTGCAATAAGATATCTAAGTCATGCTAAAAATTATTTATCAACTAGCGTATAAGGTTATGTAGTCGACAAACTTCTGTAAATTCTTCTTGCTTAGGAAAACTTTTAAATGCTTGAGTAAGCTGATTTATTTAAACCAGAATTGTATAAACCACCAAACTTTCAAAGAAACAATTTTTTTATTTTGTAAAAGTAAAGTGTCATGTCAGTGTCACGCTTGTAAACAATAAATTGAAAATAATCATTTAACACTATATTAATGATTATATTAAGAAATATATTTCTTTAACAAGATTGTATTAATATATTATGGTTACTATACGATATAACTTTGTTTAGGCACCAGTCTCCCACATTATTGTGTGTATATGTTTATTTTTATATCAAAATATTCGGAGTACAGGAACAAATGTTATTGATAAAATTGAGGGAGGTCGACTTACGAAAGTTGCTTAGCAATGACCAGATTGCGATTGAAACCTACTTGTGATTGTCGCTACTTCCTTCAGCGTGGTAAATAGATACATCGAAATCTCTTACATAACCGGCATTGACATACAGAACACCAGTTTCGCTTGCGACTGTGTCCTGAACTGGATTGCACCTAAATAAAATAAAACCCATTTGAGTTTTCATATGATTTTATACTTCTTTGGCGGTGTAATTAATTAAATAAATATACAAAAGTACAGTGTTAGTACTAAGTACGGTCTCTAAGCTTTGACGCTGACGAACTTTTTGTCCATATCCTATATCTAATACCTTTAAACGAACAAGTCTTATATTTATATATATATATAAAAATTGCTCGTTAGTTAGTTGAAAAATAAAATACAGAGCAAAGCTAGGTCATCCAGCTACTTAATAATAATATGCTATGCAAATACATTTTTATCTCATTTCGTAATGATGTAAAGTCTAACTTTTCTACATGTGTACGTATATGAATTTCGCAATAATTAATTGCTTCTTGCAATAAAAACCCGATCGTATACGAAATGTGCAAAAGACATATTTCGATATCGAGCATATAATAGAAAGCAGTTGTTTATTTGTAGAAAAACAAAACAAGTTTCTTGGTCATTACTACAGAACGACCGTCAGCAATGACAAATAGAAACCGTTATTTGAATATTTTTGGACAGATTATATTCGGTTCGAGAATAAACAAGTAAAACAGATTTTCTAATAAAAGAACTTATGTATGTTTTTTTAGGATATAAAGATTGCATATATAAGTAGTCATAGATTTATTGTATCAGATCATCCAGGTTTAGAGAGTAGCGAAAAAATAACTTCCCGTGACAAACGACGTATTTTGTTATAATTTTTTATTTCATACAGTCCAAAGTTTGATTTTGCAATTTTTTATTAATTACCTATTAGTTCGATTTATCTTAAACTCAATCTTAAAA